TGATCGTAGTATAGTGAACACGACACAACAGCATGCCATTTCTTGTGCACACTCATACTAACAAAGAACAGTGTCCAGCCACTCGTGAAACCTACACAGAGTTTTTTCGAAACCGCATGTTCCACGACTAGCAAAGCTAAAGCTGCATGTGCTGATTCGCATCTCGTGCTCACACAAAAAAATACATGACTATCGAAGATTCCATCATGACTATACGGAATCAACCCCCGGAGCATCATCACCCCCCCCACCTCGATTATTCCGTGATAGAAGCAAACACATCTGATTGGCTACTCCTCGCCACATCACGCGTGACTTCCACGACCTCGGACTTGGCGCGATGGATTTCCTGCGGCAAGTGGCGGTGGATCTGCACGCGCTGCGGACCGAGGCCAAGCGCAAGTACCCAGTCGTAAAGGAGGCAGTGGACCGTGCGCTTGAGGTGCTGCCGATCTTGCAGCAGCAGTACGCGGCGCTCGTGCGTACCGAGAAGCTCGCGCCAGGTCCCGGCCACAGTTTTTTCCAGAGCGAGAGCGTCTTGCGGCCATTTCTATTGACGTGTAACCACACGAACGCGTCCCACAAGATTCTCGTGCTCGCACTGTCGAGTATCCAGCGCCTCGTGAGCTGGGACGCCATTGAACCGGCCAGTGTGGGCAGCATCCTCCGGGTTTTGCAGATCCAGGCCGAGAAAACCGCGTACACAGACGTGCATGTCAAGTTACTGCAGACGGTCTTGCAGCTCATGACGCTCGCGTACGAGGCGACGAACCGGGAAAAGGGTGCAGCTGTAGCGCGAACTGGTCAACAACAACTAGGTACAGAAAGTGTTTTTTGAATGAGGAGCTGACGCTTGGAGAGAGAGAGGTTTGATGATGATGTTTGCATGGTCTCTTATACACAGAGAACGAGCTTGTGGGGAATGAAGATATGGTGATGCAAGCTGTGTGGATATGTGTACATCTTCACGAAAGCAGTGGCAGTGCTAGTTCAGTGGTAGGAAACACAGCAGCGATGACGATCCGGCAGCTGGTGTCGCTTGCATTTAGCCAAGTTGACTCAAGTCCAGCAGCTAAACGTGTCGGCGTGCTGCTATTCCAGGATCTGTGCTTTATCAGTCGAGAAGAGAGCGGTGTGTGGCTAAAACGCACGGCTGTGTCGCCGATGAGTGCGGCGTTAGCGGTCGAGTTACTTGAGACGATCGTTGTAACGGGGCACCCTGAAGCTTGTTCTGGTGACAGTACAAGCTACTTATTCTGATGACAGAATAAGGCTGTGCCTCGTAACTTCACGTACACTCGTACGTGCAGAGGAAGACGGTAAGAAGAAGCGAGTACTTGGTTAAAGTAAAAAGTAGAACTGTATTTATAATAGTTAATGTCTTCAATAAATCACTATTTATCTTCATCTAACTATGTCTAAATACAAATGTGTAAATCAGTTATCTGCTCACCACTCATTGCGTGCGTCTGTCGTGGCGCGTCTTCGTTGGTTGATATAATGGCCTATATCAACCAATTAGGAACTACTCGTAAGTGCTACAGAATATTTGTCCTTATGACAATATTCTGAGAATATAACTCTTATAGTTATATTCTATTAACAATTTCTTATAAATTGTTATGTAACGAATCACCCCGTTACATCACCCCCCCTTAACCATCAGTCACTTTAGTGACTGACTGAGTAAATGGATACTCGTCCCAAATCATTTGGGACAGGGTTTGCACTTGTTGGTCCGAGTCCACTTCCCAACATTTCATCGCATGGTTAACAAGCCCATGCGATGCGCGAGCAAGGCCGCCGAGAGCGCGCCCGCACGTCTCTGTGCGGACGCCGAAGCAGAAACCACAGCAACTGATGTCTCATCGGTTGCTGAAGCGACCCAGCCTGTGTCACTTGGTGATGCAGGCGCTGGTCATGAAGACACTCATGTCTTCACAGAGTACGAGCTCGGTGTCTCGTACTCTCCTGATACGGAAGACGGATCCGTATCGACGGCGATTGAATCCAAGCCGCCTGCCAAGCGTGGCATGGACGATGCTTTGCGTCGCAGCATCTTTGGTTCATTTGATGAATCAGATGAACCATCGCCGAAGCGAAGGCGCTCGAGGTCGCGAGACTCGGGCGCTAACAGTGGTGTCGGTTCTCCTATGGACACCACTTCGCAACGAGGTGCCAGTACTTCTGTCGGCACGTCGCAGGAAGAGCGGGACCGCAATGTGTTGCGTCTCGCTCCCGAGAAGAAGGCATGGATGCCTCCAAAATCCGTCATGGATCACTTGTCGGCGTTGACGAGTGATCGTTATCGAACACGATTGTTCGATTCGTCAAGGATCCATCACCTTGACCCCAGCGCGAAAAACTATCGCGCTGAACATGAATTCTTCATCGATGCTTTCTTTAGACACCGATGGTACAGTGGGAATCACAAACGTGATGGTCCCTCACTGCTTCAGGCGTGGAACGCCTACATCCATAACCTTGAGGATGTAGGTCGTGACGCTTGGAACGACAAACTTATCAAAGCTCGTGATAAGTTTGAAAAGCGAACCCCGACAGGTGCACGCTACAAGCTGCATCGTCTGTCAAGGGAGAAAGGATTACCCTGCCTCTCATGGGGAGATTCGTGCCCATGTTGTGTGAACAACTCTGCACGAGCACCTAAGGAGGCTTACCTCCTTACCAGCCCGTGGTGGCGCGTACGTGTCTCTACTGAGATGTACGAAGGGATTGACAATCTGAAATCCCTTTACGACCGTGCCGGGAAGACTTTCTCCGGCGGTCCTTCTGCGGCACAGGATGTGCCGCGTCGTACTGCTCAACCAGACCCAGTACGTAGATCATCAGTTGGGAGCGGGGCTCCCAAGAATCCCAGGACGGGGGATAGCCGCGCCACCGGACGAGATAACTCGTCCGACGTCCGTTCACGTCGCGGTGGTTCAACAGCTGCTCAACTAGATAGCGCTGGCCACCGCTAGAGTCCTCTAATGGAGGTGGAGGAGGAGGAAAGACGCTCTCCACACGATCATGGGGATCGGTGTGTTCCCGAGAGCTTCTTTGATCGCGTAACTCTTGCGTTACGCGACGATCTCGAACACGAGCGGGGCAGGCGTCTACAATTGGCGGACACTGTCTTGAAGCATCGAGCTGAGTTTGCCTTTGCTCAGCTTGAGAACGAGAGATCTCTGACATCTCTTCGTGACGAGCTAAGGGTAGCTCGTGGGATTGTTGATCGGTCTCGGGATGAGATAACCGCTCTTCAGACCCTTGTTGATGCCCACCATCGGGAGCACAAGGCTCTCTGCGAGATGCTTGAGCGCAAGGGCGTTCTTCATCGGAAGAAGCAGCGTACTGATGGTACGGCTTAAGCCGACCAACGTAAAACGTGGGATGCGTTCGCATCTTACGTGGCAACTCGATCGTGTATGCATTGCCTAGGCGGTGCAATACACGAAATGGGCCGATGTACTTGGGTAGTAGTTTACTGCTACCCAAGTAAGTCACTACATGCTTTGGTAGATTAACCGTAGACAGTAGGACTAAGTCACCTTTATTAAATAAAAAAATGTTTGCCCTTCCATTCTTGTCAGCGTTTTGCTTTTGCTTATCCACCGCTTCGGCGATGGAGTCTTGCACAAAACGGACTACCGTTTCACGAGCCAGTATGAACTCATCTGATGACTCGTTAGCTTCAGTGTGCTGTGAGCGCACTGCAGCAACATCAACCTTTTCTTCAGTGAGGGCTTCCGCACTCTCACTGGGATCATCTTCTTCAGTGAGGGCTTCCGCACTCTCACTGGCATCATCTTCTTCGATATCGATGTTATCGATATCGGCATCAAACGCAATGATTTCTTCGTCAGAGCGTGATGAGCGTGAACCAAATCGGTTTTTGCTCGCGCGAGTCCCTCCCCCCCTTAAACCAGAGTTACACTCTAGTAAGGTGGGTACACGCGGATGGCGCAAGCCATTCACGTAAAACGGTGTATGTGTCGTGGACGCATGCACCGAGTTGTTAATGGCAAACTCTACCATTGGCAAAAACTCACTCCAACTCTTAAAGGAGTGTACGTATCCTCGAAGTATCTCTTCAAGGACACGGTTGGCACGTTCCGTCTGACCATCTGACTCTGGATGATCAGATGTTGACATCTTCAAACGCGTTCCGAGTGATTTGAACACGGAACGCCAGAAATCAGCAGTGAATCGTGGATCTCTGTCTGATACGAGTTCACGGGGCAACCCATGAAGTCGGAAGATGGTGTCAATAAAGACACAAGCACAGCCACTTGCCGTGATTGGCTCTGGTACAGCCACAAGGTGTACCATTTTGCTGAATCTGTCAACAAATACGAGAATACCCGTATTCCCGCGTGCGTCTTTGGGTAACCCGAAGACGAAATCCATTGAGATGGATTCCCAGCACTCAGCCGGAACCGGTAGAGGCTGTAAAGGTGCACGAAGCGAAGGACTTGACTTCACTCGTTGACAGACTTCGCATGCGCGAACATACTTTCGCACAAACTGATACTGGCGGGGCCAGTAAAAGTCTCTACTTACCGTGAGATATGTTTTCTCTCGGCCAAGATGTCCTCCTATAGGAGCATCGTGATACTCGAACATGATCCGCAAACGCAGATCAGTATCATCTGGAATGACAACACGTGGTGTGTCACCAGAAACGGCTGTATAATACAGTAAACCGTTACGAGTAGTGTATCGATCTGATGCAGATCGATACGCAGGCGAAAATCGTTTCAACGATTCTCGGGATGGTTGGGAGAGATGTGTCAACAACTTCACTATCTCACTATCTTGGGCGTATGCCCGCCTCACATCATCATACAACGTTGTAGATGGGACTGAGGACGTCATAACCGCAACAGTGACTGTCTCACTGTTGGGTTTCACGACTGGGTCAAAGTCGGGACGACGTGAGAGTGCATCAGCGACGACATTAAGTCGTCCTGGTTTGTACTCGACCGTAAAGTTGTATTCCGCAAAGAATGACAACTACCGCGCCATTCGTTGAGAAAGGTGCGGGCTGTTCACTGCCGTGCGTAATGACGCATGGTCAGTGTAAACAATGAAGGGTCTATCTCCTAATAGATAGACTCTGAACTTCGCGAGTGCATACTTCATGGCAAGGAGTTCCTTGTCATGCACTGGATAGTTCCGCTCGGCTGGTTGCAGCTGACGCGACTGATAGCAGACGACGCGTTCAACGCCTTCAAGATCGTACTGCATTAATGCACAGCCGATTGCGAAATCGCTGGCATCACAGACCACATGAAATGGCCTGTCCTGATCGGCTATTGCTAGGACTGGGGATTGTATCAAGCTCTGCTTGATACCCTCAAAGGAGCGCTGACATTCAGCGCTCCATAACCACCTCTCGTTATTTTTCAACAAACGAGAGAGGTGCACAGTCATCTCGGCGTAATTGCTTGAATACTTATGCAAATACGCCGCTAGCCTATGGAATTTTCGAAGACCTTTGACATCAACCGGCACAGGCCAGTCGGTGATCGCCTTGATCTTTTCGGGATCAGGACGTACACCGTTCTTACCAACAATGCACCCAAGAAGTGGTATTTCGCTTGCTGCAAATATACACTTCTTGAGGTTTGCATACAATTGATGCTTTCGCATGATTGTAAGAACCTGTCGGACGTAGTACCTGTGAACCTCAACGTCCGACTTTCCATCCATAGCTCGACTATGGATGAATACATCATCGAAATAACTCGGCGCGAATTCTCGTACTGGTCTCAACAGATGTGATACGCATCTGTTGAACGTGGCAGGGGCATTACTAAGCCCTTGCGGCATTACTAGCCATTCCCAGAGCATGCCGCTAAGCGTGCTAACTGCGGTATAGGGTATATCCCGTTCTCGCATAAGGATTTGATAGAAGCCATCCATCAAATCCATGGACGAAAAGATGGTACTCTTTGACATACCATCAATGATTACGTCCTTCCTCGGTATCGGCGTCTGAGCCGGTACCGTTGCAGCGTTCAATTTGTTGAACGCGTGCACTATCCGCCACCCTCCTGTTGCTTTTCGCACACAGAAGGTCGGAGAGCTATGTGGGGAAGTTGATTCCCTCACATGGCCCGCAGCTAAACGATCGGCAAAGAACTTGTCGATCGCAAGTACTTGTTCACGAGGCAGTGGCCACTGCTTCACGACACAGTACTTCGAGCCTGGTTTAAGCTCGACCTCGTGTCGAATACCTTTATCCTTCGGTAATTCGCACGGAACAGTTTCAGGGAATACACCCTTGAATTCAACCAAATCTTCATAGAGAGGATTTGTCTTGAGCGATTCCCACGATTGGGAGTCATATCGCTCAATTCGTGTCTTTTCATCTAGGACACTCTCGTCCATAGATGAACTACTGAGAACTCTCTCGTTCTCAGTGAAGACTGTTGCTGACCTTATGTCGGTTACACACTCGTCGTCAGCGCCGAGTATGCAGATCTGCTTGACTTTGCCACTACGCAGATCACGCAAGAACCTTTTATGTTCGAGCGTTGGCAACTGAGTGATCTCCGAAGTTAACTTCGGAGGCGCAATCAGATCAAGTGTATAAGCGCCTACACTTGATTCGTTATTGACTATGACATTCAATGTCTCTGTCATTTCCTGGGGACTTATTCCCTCAGGCTTCGAAGGACTTATTCCTTCGTCTTCCCGGGGACTTATTCCCGCGGGTTTCGGGGAACTTATTTCCGCCGTATTTGTACTATCGGAACTTATTCCCTTTACTTCCTCTAGCTGGGGTTGCGCAACCACAGCGAGATCCTCTACGAAAGACTCTCCAGTCGATCTAGGATTATCGTTTCGCTTAACCTGAGCGATCGATTGTTTCTCTTCTAGATGTTCCCCGCTAGGGATACATCTTTGTCCCAGTCCACCCGACTTATTCGAGTGGTGGACCTTCGGCGCAGCCTGTGTTTCCTCACATCCGCCGGAACTTTGCTCCGAAGTGTAACCGTTTGGTACACCAAGGTTTTGTGCAGTCGTACTAACGACCGTACCACAAGTGAGGCCATCGCACTCACTCGTAGTACATCCACACGCTTGTGGACGCTCCAAAACGTTCATCAGATGGCCATCTGATGAACAAGCGGCAGGCATAGTTACTGTTCGATGTTGCCAGTTTACTCGTGGTTCGTACCTTCTGAGCCACGGTATTCCAAGGATGACATCAAATTTGTCATCCAAATCCAATACGATAAAGTCATCGTCATATTGGGTATCTTCTAGCGTATAGTGGATCTTCACTATACGCTTCATGACGGTTACGGATGCGCCTGTCGCAAGACGTACCGTCATCCTCGTAGGAGGTGTGTCACATTCACTGAATTTAAAGTGACCATCTTCTAGCAATTGGCGTCGCACAAAATTGTTGGACGCTCCACAATCGACTAGAGCTCGAAGGGACAACTTATTCGTCACTTCGAGTTTCAAGGTAATGAGTGAGACCTCATTACCTAGAGCAGCAACGCACAACGTTTGTGTGTTGGGAGCAACCTTCATCAAGAGGCCTACAAATTCTCTTGACGTTGCTGGATCAGTAGGGTGCTCCGCACCTACTGATCCTGTCCGTTTTTGACGGTCCATCCCGTTGTTGCGTCTTTGCACCAACTGCGGACCCTCGTCCCTGCCCCTTTCTCATGGGTGGACGGTCACTACGCCCAATGTCGCGAGACACTGGACGAGGGGCACTACACTCGTAAGCGTAGTGTCCTGTCTTTTGACATCTGTTGCATCTCTGCAACTTCTTGTAGCCTGTAGAGCGATCCTCCTCGCTCTCTACATAACAGAGTTCCATCGGCTCTGGACCTCCGTTGTCATATCGTCTCGGTTGACGATATGATGTCGAGCTGGCGCGAGCCTGTCTCAGACTGAAGTCTTCCTGCTCCGCAATGGAAATGGCTTGTTCTAGTGAATCTAGTTCAAGCCGGAACAGGTGAGTCTTGACGGGACCATCCGCAAGACCCTGCATGAACACCGAAACCAACGTGTGTTCATCCACCGGATTGGAACTTATACAACTCGTGAGATGTCGTATATGTTGCGCGTAAGCGTGCACATCACGCTTACCCTGCTTGAGCTTCAAGAGTTCGGTTCGAGCTCTGAACTTAGCTCTAGGTGGTTCAAACGTTTGTCTGAGCCGCGACTTGAAGACTTCCAACGACCCAAACGCATATGGGTCGTGCAACTTGAGCCCCAGTGCCCAAGTCTTGGCACGTCCTGCCAGATTTGACTGGGCAAATGCAACTTGCATATCCCCGTCGTCGATGCGACGCGCCCTTATGGCGTCATCCAATTCGACGAACCATCTCAAGAGGGAGTCTTCTTCGACCCCCCTATACTTGGAGATGTCAATCTTCAAAGTCTCGGGTCGACGCGAATGCATCGACCCGCCAGCAGCAGCCTGCTGCTGTCTCAACAGTTCAAACTGTTGAGCACCCTGTTCTCTCAACAACTCTGCTTGTTGGGAACCTTGTTGGTGAAGCAAGGCTACTTTCTCGCTTTCAGCGTCAAGTTCATTTTGAATGAACTTGGCGATAGTAGCATGTTGGGCATCTCTATTGAGAGCCTCTAGCATGACGCTAACAGCATGGATGCCCATGGTCGAACCCATTCGTTCAACCGCATCCCATTCGACATCGCTCAAATGGGAGTAGCCGTCACGCGTAGCGTGAAAGCTTTGGTCATCTTCATCATCCAACATATTCATGTTGGATGTGAACGCGGTCCTTGGACGGACTACGAAGTGCTACCAGGTGTAACGGGGCACCCTGAAGCTTGTACTGGTGACAGTACAAGCTACTTATTCTGATGACAGAATAAGGCGGTGCCTCGTAACTTCACGTACACTCGTACGTGCAGAGAAAGACGGTAAGAAGAAGCGAGTACTTAATTAAAGTAAAAAGTAGAACTGTATTTATAATAGTTAATGTCTGCAATAAATCACTATTTATCTTCATCTAACTATGTCTAAATACAAATGTGTAAATCAATTATCTGCTCACCACTCATTGCGTGCGTCTGTCGTGGCGCGTCTTCGTTGGTTGATATAATGGCCTATAGCAACCAATTAGGAACTACTCGTAAGTGCTACAGAATATTTGTCCTTATGACAATATTCTGAGAATATAACTCTTATAGTTATATTCTATTAACAATTTCTTATAAATTGTTATGTAACGATTCACCCCGTTACATCACCCCCCCTTAACCATCAGTCACTTTAGTGACTGACTGAGTAAATGGATACTCGTCCCAAATCATTTGGGACAGGGTTTGCACTTGTTGGTCCGAGTCCACTTCCCAACATTTCATCGCATGGTTAACAAGCCCATGCGATGCGCGAGCAAGGCCGCCGAGAGCGCGCCCGCACGTCTCTGTGCGGACGCCGAAGCAGAAACCACAGCAACTGATGTCTCATCGGTTGCTGAAGCGACCCAGCCTGTGTCACTTGGTGATGCAGGCGCTGGTCATGAAGACACTCATGTCTTCACAGAGTACGAGCTCGGTGTCTCGTACTCTCCTGATACGGAAGACGGATCCGTATCGACGGCGATTGAATCCAAGCCGCCTGCCAAGCGTGGCATGGACGATGCTTTGCGTCGCAGCATCTTTGGTTCATTTGATGAATCAGATGAACCATCGCCGAAGCGAAGGCGCTCGAGGTCGCGAGACTCGGGCGCTAACAGTGGTGTCGGTTCTCCTATGGACACCACTTCGCAACGAGGTGCCAGTACTTCTGTCGGCACGTCGCAGGAAGAGCGGGACCGCAATGTGTTGCGTCTCGCTCCCGAGAAGAAGGCATGGATGCCTCCAAAATCCGTCATGGATCACTTGTCGGCGACGACGAGTGATCGTTATCGAACACGATTGTTCGATTCGTCAAGGATCCATCACCTTGACCCCAGCGCGAAAAACTATCGCGCTGAGCATGAGTTCTTCATCGATGCTTTCTTTAGACACCGATGGTACAGTGGGAATCACAAACGTGATGGTCCCTCACTGCTTCAGGCGTGGAACGCCTACATCCATAACCTTGAGGATGTAGGTCGTGACGCTTGGAACGACAAACTTATCAAAGCTCGTGATAAGTTTGAAAAGCGAACCCCGACAGGTGCACGCTACAAGCTGCATCGTCTGTCAAGGGAGAAAGGATTACCCTGCCTCTCATGGGGAGATTCGTGCCCATGTTGTGTGAACAACTCTGCACGAGCACCTAAGTAGGCTTACCTCCTTACCAGCCCGTGGTGGCGCGTACGTGTCTCTACTGAGATGTACGAAGGGATTGACAACCTGAAATCCCTTTACGACCGTGCCGGGAAGACTTTCTCCGGCGGTCCTTCTGCGGCACAGGATGTGCCGCGTCGTACTGCTCAACCAGACCCAGTACGTCGATCATCAGTTGGGAGCGGGGCTCCCAAGTATCCCAGGACGGGGGATAGCCGCGCCACCGGACGAGATAACTCGTCCGACGTCCGTTCACGTCGCGGTGGTTCAACAGCTGCTCAACTAGATAGCGCTGGCCACCGCTAGAGTCCTCTAATGGAGGTGGAGGAGGAGGAAAGACGCTCTCCACACGATCATGTGGATCGGTGTGTTCCCGAGAGCTTCTTTGATCGCGTAACGCAAGGGTTACGCGACGATCTCGAACATGAGCGGAATGGGCGTCTCCAAATGGCGGACACTGCCTCGAAGCATCGAGCTGATTTTGCCTTTGCTCAGCTCGAGAACGAGAGATCTCTGACATCTCTTCGTGACGAGCTAAGGGTAGATCGTGGGATTGTTGATCGGTCTCGGGATGAGATAGCTGCTCTTCAGACCCTTGTTGATGCCCACCATCGGGAGCACAAGGCTCTCTGCGAGATGCTTGAGCGCAAGGGCGTTCTTCATCGGAAGAAGCAGCGTACTGATGGCACGGCTTAAGCCGACCAACGTAAAACGTGGGATGCGTTCGCATCTTACGTGGTAACTCGATCGTGTATGCATTGCCTAGGCGGTGCAATAAACGAAATGGACCGATGTATTTGGGTAGTAGTTTACTGCTACCCAAGTTAGTCACTACATGCTTTGGTAGATTAACCGTAGACAGTAGGACTAAGTCACCTTTATTAAATAAAAAAATGTTTGCCCTTCCATTCTTGTCAGCGTTTTGCTTTTGCTTATCCACCGCTTCGGCGATGGAGTCTTGCACAAAACGGACTACCGTTTCACGAGCCAGTATGAACTCATCTGATGACTCGTTAGCTTCAGTGTGCTGTGAGCGCACTGCAGCAACATCAACCTTTTCTTCAGTGAGGGCTTCCGCACTCTCACTGGGATCATCTTCTTCAGTAAGGGCTTCCGCACTCTCACTGGCATCATCTTCTTCAGTGAGGGCTTCCGCACTCTCACTGGAATCAACTTCTTCGACATCGATGTTATCGATATCGGCATCAAACGCAATGACGTCTTCGTCAGAGCGTGATGAGCGTGAACCAAATCGGTTTTTGCTCGCGCGAGTCCCTCCCCCCCTTAAACCAGAGTTACACTCTAGTAAGGTGGGTACACGCGGATGGCGCAAGCCATTCACGTAAAACGGTGTATGTGTCGTGGACGCATGCACCGAGTTGTTAATGGCAAACTCTACCATTGGCAAAAACTCACTCCAACTCTTAAAGGAGTGTACGTATCCTCGAAGTATCTCTTCAAGGACACGGTTGGCACGTTCCGTCTGACCATCTGACTCTGGATGATCAGATGTTGACATCTTCAAGCGCGTTCCGAGTGATTTGAACACGGAACGCCAGAAATCAGCAGTGAATCGTGGATCTCTGTCTGATACGAGTTCACGGGGCAACCCATGAAGTCGGAAGATGGTGTCAATAAAGACACAAGCACAGCCACTTGCCGTGATTGGCTCTGGTACAGCCACAAGGTGTACCATTTTGCTGAATCTGTCAACAAATACGAGAATACCCGTATTCCCGCGTGCGTCTTTGGGTAACCCGAAGACGAAATCCATTGAGATGGATTCCCAGCACTCAGCCGGAACCGGTAGAGGCTGTAAAGGTGCACGAAGTGAAGGACTTGACTTCACTCGTTGACAGACTTCGCATGCGCGAACATACTTTCGCACAAACTGATACTGGCGGGGCCAGTAAAAGTCTCTACTTACCGTGAGATATGTTTTCTCTCGGCCACGATGTCCTCCTATAGGAGCATCGTGATACTCGAACATGATCCGCAAACGCAGATCAGTATCATCTGGAATGACAACACGTGGTGTGTCACCAGAAACGGCTGTATAATACAGTAAACCCGTCGCGAGTAGGTATCGATCTGGTGAAGAATGATACGCCTACGATAATCGTTTCAACGATTCTCGGGATGGTTGGGAGAGATGTGTCAACAACTTCACTATCTCACCATCTTGGGCGTATGCCCGCCTCACATCATCATACAACGTTGTAGATGGGACTGAGGACGTCATAACCGCAACAGTGACTGTCTCACTGTTGGGTTTCACGACTGGGTCAAAGTCGGGACGACGTGAGAGTGCATCAGCGACGACATTAAGTCGTCCTGGTTTGTACTCGACCGTAAAGTTGTATTCCGCAAAGAATGACAACCACCGCGCCATTCGTTGAGAAAGGTGCGGGCTGTTCACTGCCGTGCGTAATGACGCATGGTCAGTGTAAACAATGAAGGGTCTATCTCCTAATAGATAGACTCTGAACTTCGCGAGTGCATACTTCATGGCAAGGAGTTCCTTGTCATGCACTGGATAGTTCCGCTCAGCTGGTTGCAGCTGACGCGACTGATAGCAGACGACGCGTTCAACGCCTTCAAGATCGTACTGCATTAATGCGCAGCCGATTGCGAAATCGCTGGCATCACAGACCACATGAAATGGCCTGTCCTGATCGGCTATTGCTAGGACTGGGGATTGTATCAAGCTCTGCTTGATACCCTCAAAGGAGCGCTGACATTCAGCGCTCCATAACCACCTCTCGTTATTTTTCAACAAACGAGAGAGGTGCACAGTCATCTCGGCGTAATTGCTTGAATACTTATGCAAATACGCCGCTAGCCCAAGGAATTTTCGAAGACCTTTGACATCAACCGGCACAGGCCAGTCGGTGATCGCCTTGATCTTTTCAGGATCAGGACGTACACCGTTCTTACCAACGATGCACCCAAGAAGTGGTATTTCGCTTGCTGCAAATATACACTTCTTGAGGTTTGCATACAATTGATGCTTTCGCATGATTGTAAGAACCTGTCGGACGTGGTACCTGTGAACCTCAACGTCCGACTTTCCATCCATAGCTCGACTATGGATGAATACATCATCGAAATAACTCGGCGCGAATTCTCGTACTGGTCTCAACAGATGTGATACGCATCTGTTGAACGTGGCAGGGGCATTACTAAGCCCTTGCGGCATTACTAGCCATTCCCAGAGCATGCCGCTAGGCGTGCTAACTGCGGTATAGGGTATATCCCGTTCTCGCATAAGGATTTGATAGAAGCCATCCATCAAATCCATGGACGAAAAGATGGTACTCTTTGACATACCATCAATGATTACGTCCTTCCTCGGTATCGGCGTCTGAGCCGGTACCGTTGCAGCGTTCAATTTGTTGAACGCGTGCACTATCCGCCACCCTCCTGTTGCTTTTCGCACACAGAAGGTCGGAGAGCTATGTGGGGAAGTTGATTCCCTCACATGGCCCGCAGCTAAACGATCGGCAAAGAACTTGTCGTTCGCAAGTACTTGTTCACGAGGCAGTGGCCACTGCTTCACGACACAGTACTTCGAGCCTGGTTTAAGCTCGACCTCGTGTCGAATACCTTTATCCTTCGGTAATTCGCACGGAACAGTTTCAGGGAATACATCCTTGAATTCAACCAAATCTTCATAGAGAGGATTTGTCTTGAGCGATTCCCACGATTGGGAGTCATATCGCTCAATTCGTGTCTTTTCATCTAGGACACTCTCGTTCATAGATGAACTACTGAGAACTCTCTCGTTCTCAGTGAAGACTGTTGCTGACCTTATGTCGGTTACACACTCGTCGTCAGTGACGAGTACGCAGATCTGCTTGACTTTGCCACTACGCAGATCACGCAAGAACCTTTTATGTTCGAGCGTTGGCAACTGAGTGATCTCCGAAGTCAACTTCGGAGGCGCAATTAGATCAAGTGTATAAGCGCCTACACTTGATCGATCATTGACTATGACATTCAATGTCTCTGTCATTTCCTGGGGACTTATTCCCTCAGGCTTCGAAGGACTTATTCCTTCGTCTTCCCGGGGACTTATTCCCGCGGGTTTCGGGGAACTTATTTCCGCCGTATTTGTACTATCGGAACTTATTCCCTTTACTTCCTCTAGCTGGGGTTGCGCAACCACAGCGAGATCCTCTACGAAAGACTCTCCAGTCGATCTAGGATTATCGTTTCGCTTAACCTGAGCGATCGATCGTTTCTCTTCTAGATGTTCCCCGCTAGGGATACATCTTTGTCCCAGTCCACCCGACTTATTCGAGTGGTGGACCTTCGGCGCAGCCTATGTTTCCTCACAGCCGCCGGAACTTTGCTCCGAAGTGTAACCGTTTGGTACACTAAGGTTTTGTGCAGTCGTACTAACGACCGTACCACAAGTGAGGCCATCGCACTCACTCGTAGTACATCCACACGCTTGTGGACGCTCCAAAACGTTCATCAGATGGCCATCTGATGAACAAGCGGCAGGCATCGTTACTGTCCGATGTTGCCAGTTTACCCGTGGTTCGTACCTTCTGAGCCACGGTATTATAAGGATGACATCAAATTTGTCATCCAAATCCAATACGATAAAGTCATCGTCATATTGGGTATCTTCTAGCGTATAGTGGATCTTCACTATACGCTTCATGACTGATTACGGATGCGCCTGTCGCAAGACGTACCGTCATCCTCGTAGGAGGTGTGTCACATTCACTGAATTTAAAGTGACCATCTTCTAGCGATTGGCGTCGCACAAAATTGTTGGACGCCCCACAATCGACTAGAGCTCGAAGGGACAACTTATTCGTCACTTCGAGTTTCAAGGTAATGAGTGAGACCTCATTACCTAGAGCAGCAACGCACAACGTTTGTGTGTTGGGAGCAACCTTCATCAATAGGCCTACAAATTCTCTTGACGTTGCTGGATCAGTAGGGTGCTCCGCACCTACTGATCCTGTCCGTTTTTTGACGGTCCATCCCGTTGTTGCGTCTTTGCACCAACTGCGGACCCTCGTCCCTGCCCCTTTCTCATGGGTGGACGGTCACTACGCCCAATGTCGCGAGACACTGGACGAGGGGCACTACACTCGTAAGCGTAGTGTCCTGTCTTTTGACATCTGTTGCATCTCTGCAACTTCTTGTAGCCTGTAGAGCGATCCTTCTCGCTCTCTAAATTACAGAGTTCCATCGGCTCTGGACCTCCGTTGTCATATCGTCTCGGTTGACGATATGATGTCGAGCTGGCGCGAGCCTGTCTCAGACTGAAGTCTTCCTGCTCCGCAATGGAAATGGCTTGTTCTAGTGAATCTAGTTCAAGCCGGAACAGGTGAGTCTTGACGGGACCATCCGCAAGACCCTGCATGAACACCGAAACCAACGTGTGTTCATCCACCGGATTGGAACTTATACAACTCGTGAGATGTCGTATATGTTGAGCGTAAGCGTGTACATCACGCTTACCCTGCTTGAGCTTCAAGAGTTCGGTTCGAGCTCTGAACTCAGCTCTAGGTGGTTCAAACGTTTGTCTGAGCCGCGACTTGAAGACTTCCAACGACCCAAACGCATATGGGTCGTGCAACTTGAGCCCCAGTACCCAAGTCTTGGCACGTCCTGCCAGATTTGACTGGGCAAATGCAACTTGCATATCCCCGTCGTCGATGCGACGCGCCCTTATGGCGTCATCCAATTCGACGAACCATCTCAAGAGGGAGTCTTCTTCGACCCCCCTATACTTGGAGATGTCAATCTTCAAAGTCTCGGGTCGACGCGAATGCATCGACCCGCCAGCAGCAGCCTGCTGCTGTCTCAACAGTTCAAACTGTTGAGCACCCTGTTCTCTCAACAACTCTGCTTGTTGGGAACCTTGTTGGTGAAGCAAGGCTACTTTCTCGCTTTCAGCGTCAAGTTCATTTTGAATGAACTTGGCGATAGTAGCATGTTGGGCATCTCTATTGAGAGCTTCTAGCATGACGCTAACAGCATGGATGCCCATGGTCGAACCCATTCGTTCAACCGCATCCCATTCGACATCGCTCAAATGGGAGTAGCCGTCACGCGTAGCGTGAAAGCTATGGTCATCTTCATCATCCAACATATTCATGTTGGATGTGAACGCGGTCCTTGGACGGACTACGAAGTGCTACCAGGTGTAACGGGGCACCCTGAAGCTTGTACTGGTGACAGTACAAGCTACTTATTCTGATGACAGAATAAGGCGGTGCCTCGTAACTTCACGTACACTCGTACGTGCAGAGGAAGACGGTAAGAAGAAGCGAGTACTTGGTTAAAGTAAAAAGTAGAACTGTATTTATAATAGTTAATGTCTGCAATAAATCACTATTTATCTTCATCTAACTATGTCTAAATACAAATGTGTAAATCAGTTATCTGCTCACCACTCATTGCGTGCGTCTGTCGTGGCGCGTCTTTGTTGGTTGATATAATGGCCTATATCAACCAATTAGGAACTACTCGTAAGTGCTACAGAATATTTGTCCTTATGACAATATTCTGAGAATATAACTCTTATAGTTATATTCTATTAACAATTTCTTATAAATTGTTATGTAACGATTCACCCCGTTACACTTTGCCTGCTGTTGCGATTCAGCAACAGGCGATGCTTATTGTGGATAGTCCACGTGGTGAGTCACCACGTGCTAGATACCTTCG